AAATATAATTATGGGACACACATATGATTGAAATATTATACAGCCATCAAAAGACGTTAAGGAAGAGTTCCTGATGACATGGAAAAATGATTACAGTGTAAAGTTTAAAAAGATATAAGGACAGAGGGACATATTTCAAGATGAGTGAAACTGACAATAAATTAAAACAAGAGAATAATCTACTATGGATATCTCTTGTAAGTCAATGATCCTGATTTGGTCAGTGCTAAGAAAACTTACCTTCTACCACATCAATCATGCACAGACCCAAGAGGCTTGGCACCAGGTTGGATGAAGCTGTGTGGACTGCAATAGCACCACCCATGCTATGTCCAATCAGCATAATTGGAGGAGGGAGGTCCCCATACATGGCTTCAACTACATTGCCAACGTCTCTGCAAAGAGAAGACAAAAAAGCTGGGGATGCTTTTTGACAACACTGTAAAAATGGTTTTTCCCCAGCTCCTCCCTTTGGTCTGTAACTAATAGTCCTGGGACACTATGAAAGTCTACTGGGCCATCTTACAAACATACCTGTGTAAACCTCCTAACATGCCCCACAGTTATCTATAAAGGTGGCCACACACCTAGCTCTCCTGAGAAGTGATAAATTAAGGACTAAGAATTCAAATTTTCTAATTTTCCTTTATATCATACTTTTACCATTCAACACATCTAGTACAATTATATAAACATCTGTCTTTATTTTGAACCTAAGTTTGAAACTCTGGAAAAATCATTTAACTGCTCTATGCCTCAATTTTCCTATCTATAAGACAGGAAAGCAATTTTATTAAGCATTATAATGTAGTGAAGTTTGGAGTCACAAGATGAGACCTAGCCTCAGTTTATTTTTTACTATGTGATCGTGGATTAGTTACTTCATCTCTCAGACACTGAGTTTCAGTATCTATAAAATAAAGACAATATTACTTGCTATTCTGGACTGCTATCAGGATTAAGTGAGAAGTAAATGAGAAACTACTTTGAAAGAATAAAGTGCTATACAAATGTTAATTATTATTTACAATTTCTCACGTGTAGATGTTTGAAGGATGAACATAAATGTAAATACAGTGCTCTGAGAAACTAGAAAGGTTTAGAGCTAATTTTTATTGGCTTCTGTTCTAGTCTTGCATTACGACTGGATCTGTTTAACAAAGTCAAACATTAAAGCTTTGAAAATGAGAACTGAAGTATGAACTTCGGTTTTTATTTGCTTGTAGGCCTTCCTTGCTAATAGGTGAGATAAGAACATAAGGTATATTTCTAGAGATCACTGGCTCTACTGCCTTCTTTTGGGAGTGGCTAGTCAGTCAACTTCAAAAGATGGTTTTGCCTTGCTTGAGTGTTCACTACATACCTCAAGCACTCACACAGTGTTAACCACATATAGCAGGTGTCAATGTAGGGACACAGACTTCATAATGGCAAAGGCAAATGTTATTAATTATGCAGGAATTAATTTTTAAAATCTCACAAAAATTATAGATGTAAATAAGGCAGCTGCAGCATTTACAAACAATATGAATGGGAGATAAAGAGGCCACCAAATTTTATAAGTGAAACAAACAATAGTTTAATATCCCTCCAGAGATGTTGAATTTAAGGCTAAGACAGAAGGTAAAGCAGTTTAGGCAGTCATCTAAAGTGATAACACAGTTAAGATAAAAAGTCCAAGCTTCTTTGACACCAGTGCTGCTTCTATACTAACACAAAATTATAGCCGGAAGTCAAAATGATATGAAGGGAAGAAAAAAGAACTAATATTTATTCAGTGCCTATTAAGTGGTATAAATTTTCCTATTAAATCCAATGTAATCCTTCAATAGCCCTATCTGGAAGGGTTTGTATTACTATTTTATAGGTGATGAAACTGAAGGCACGTTTTCCAACTGTAAGAATTGGCCACATCAATTAATCTCATTGGATCTATTAAAATATTATTGAGTTTCTACCAAGGTAAAAAGAGGTGCATATGGGAGGCCGAGGCGGGTGGATCGCTCAAGGTCAGGAGTTCGAGACCAGCCTGAGCAAGAGTGAGACCCCGTCTCTACTAAAAAATAGAAAGAAATGA